AATTGTTTGAAGTGTTGTGTCAAACACAATAAATCTGAAAAGCTAAAACAGTTGAACCACCCCTACAACCAACATTAAACTACAAATAACTAGGATATATTTTCCTACTCTTCAATCCTATAAATATGAACACAAGTGAGCCCAATTATGCTAATTTATCTCAACATTTATAGGCGACATCCACAGTCTATGTTATAATCTTATACATACTGAATTACTGTTCTTGTAGGAAAATCAATCAAAGAACTAAAATATTGTTTTAAGGATATGAAAAATATAAACATACCTTTATAGATTTCTGATTGACTTTAAAGTTACCACGACTCAGTTTCTGAAGGGCACGGTTTGCATCTTGTCTCTGTACCATTACAATATAAGCACATCCTCTTGGAGGGATCATCTATTTTCAACAAAGAAATATTAAATTACTTTACAAGAATAATAATGTATGTTATTTAAAATGTATTGTACCTGTTATTATTATTAATAATGGGGCCAGTTTGGTTTGCTGTAGTGATTAAGGCATCAGGCTAAAAATCAAATAACCGTGAATTCTAGTTCTTCCTTAGGCACGAAGCCAACGTGGTAATATTGGGCCAGCCAGTAAGTCCTAGGAAAAAGGCAATGGCAAGCCACTTTGAAAATCTTCCCAAGAAAATTGTAGAAATTTATCCAGGTAGTTTCCAGGAATCTAGATTGACTCAAGGGCACCAAATAATAAATAACTAACTAAATTAAACTATAACTTAAGCCAAAAGTCAAGGGAATTATATTCTAGAAGCTATAAAACTGAATGTTACTTATTTGCTTATTGTACCCTACAACTATTATTAAGTGCTGTACCTTACGATTCTTGACTCTTGACAAATGTATCTTTTCTTTTATGTACACTGAGAGCACTTGCACCAAGACAAATTCCTTGTATGTTCAATCACACTTGGCCACTAAAGAATTCTATTCTATTTTATTTTTCATATTTTTGTTTTTACTATTTTATTTTTCATATTTTTGTACTAGTAATAGTCATATGTTGCAGTCTAAAGTTTCAAATAAAATGTTAACTTGCTTTTTATTGCTGTTATTTTTTTTGAGACTGACACTCACATTTATAGATTCAATTAGACCAAACTCTTCTAGGAGACCTCCTACATCCTGTTGTGTTGTTCGTTTGTCCAGTTGTCCTACCCAAAGAGTTGTACTGCAAACTAAGAGAGAAATATATTCGAATGGACTTAAATATTAAAATGAACATTATTTCAAATATATACAAATCTTTACTAAATCTAAATCACAAAACTGTTATAGCAATTTTGTTAAAAGTTATGATTAAATAGATAAAAATACAAAGAAAAATAATAAAGAAAAAATGAATAGAAACAGAATCAGAAAGAATAACATCAAAGTAAAGGAAAAAAATGAAATGACTTCCTTCTATATTACAATAAGTATAAATAATTTTAGTAGCTTATCATTCTTAATCTTTTTTCTCTTAAAATACAAAAAATAATTTATCCTTCTCATATCCATCTCTTATTTATAAACAAATGCTTAAAGCCTCGTTGTTTCAAGCCTGATCAGCAAAAGTCCATTAAGGGTTGCAAGGCACTTCTGCTTTGAGCATGGTGGCTGGGCAAAATGTTGGCGCAGGAAATTGGAACAGAAGGCAGCTGGGTAAGCTGCGTAATTCTGGGGCTGGGTGAAGGGGAGCCAAAAGGGTGGGAGATGGGGGTGGAGATGGACAAGCGGAGGGAGCTGAAGCGCCCATGGCTATAAAATGCAGGCTGTCTGCCAGGTCTCCAAATTTGGATTTGACTGCAGGGCCTCTGCAACAGCAACATTTGAAATGGAGCTGAATGAATGTAAGTTGAGGAATATCTCTATCCACCAGTACTCTGGACAGCTATTCCTCATGATGGGATCAAAGGAGAACAATGTCCCGTGGGTTTGAGCACCAGGAGATAAAGGGAACAGCCATCATGCTTACAGCTCTGGCAGAACCTTTTAAAGGACAATAGGTTCATTAACCTCACTTTCAATTTCAGAATTTATTTATTTGCTACTTTAAAGCTATCAAATGTCTTCAGAAGTCTAAAAAGCAACCTGTTGAATTTAAGTTCATTCAACACACACCAAAAAAATAACAATAAGCTTAAGAATTTAAAGAGTTAGAAATAAGTATAATATTTTGATTCAAGAAAGTTATAAATTAATGATTCAGATAAATATGAAATATTCAGACTCGTACTGTAAGACTTTGGAAATAATTATAGACTTTCATGGGAAAACAATTATTCTGTCTATCCTAAGTGATAACATAGCTGAGACGATGATTTCAGGCAGAAAAGGAAAAGTGAAGAGTGAAAAATTACATTCTATTGTTAACCAAAATCCTTAATAAAAAATATTTTTTTAAAATACTCACCACTAACTGTTTCTGGTTTGACTGGAGGAAGGCCTTTTACTCTGCGTTCTCGCTCTCTCTCCCTCTCACGTCTTTCCTGGGACCGTGACCTAGGAGAATGACGTCGCTTGTCCCGTGATCGAGAACGAGAACGACGATGGCGTGATCTTCGAGTTCGAGAACCAGATCGTGATCTTCTTCTCTTGGGTGATCTAGTATAAAAAAGAAATGCATGCAGTAATCTAGATACCGAGAGGGTTCGTTCCTATCTTTTCTGTTTGTACAGCTGATTTTGGTCATTCACTCTGTATTTATTTTAAATATGCCAAAAGGAAAATGACATTTCAAAAATAGGCCATTCTACATGTATAGATGAATAGGGGAATTTTAAAAAATATCATGTTTTTCCCCAGTTCTGTTAAGGATATCCAACAATGCAGAAAAAATATTGGACAAATAACTGTAGATTACTGTTTAAGAGTGCTGGTAATTCTCCATCAGACTCCAAGACAGCTGAAATTATCAAATAATAAAGTGTATAAATTGGAAACTATTAACAGCCATCTGGGTTTTTTTTATCCTTTCCTCACTTTAGTCTTTTCCCCACCTCTTTAACAGAGATTTATTAAAGAATAAACCTTTTGTTTCCCCTTTTCTTCTGTATTCATATAATGGTAAGAATATTAATAATCACCATGATTTGTTTCATTTATGTAAGAGGTAACAGAAAAAGTCTATAATGCCCCAAAACTGCTGATTAGGGATTTAGCAATTTTATTTTTATCACGTTACTATTTGTAGTCCTCACTTAACTATTGTTAAAGGGAAAGGTGCAACACGCCCACATTCATATGATCGCAATCTGAGTAGTTGGCAACCTGTTCCCAATTACAATTGGTTGTCAAGCACCCCAAAATCATGTGATCACCCTCTGCAATCTTCTTTGACTGCTTCCCCAGATAGTCAAAGGGAACGTTGTAAGCTGCCGCTGCTTGTCAAGAGCACTCTCTCATCTCTGGGGGCTTCCTAAAAGAGCTTTCTGATGAAGGATTTCTGAAGCTGAACTCCGATCAAGCTCAGAGCTAAACTCTCTCCTTGTCTCTCTGTGCCTACAGAATTCACAGGCACAGAAGGATTTTGAGCTCATTTAATGACTGCAACCAGGAGTGCTACGATCTTTGTCCTTGTGCTGTCACATGATGCCTTACTTAACTACCATTTCATTCATGAGATTTTATCACAATTGTTAAAGATACTTATATTATTTTTTTCCTCACTTTTGGATACAATCTGTGTATGGTATCAATGCATATAACATGCACCTTTTTTGTTGTTCATGGTTTTCTATATTAATAACATCAATAGCAACGACCTTTGTAATTTGGAATATTAAAGGATTAGGACCTCCTGCTAAATGTAGATAAATCTTAACTAAGTAGAAAAAGATAGGAACCAAAAAAATCTGTAGGCACAATATCAGTTTTTTCTGTGAGATCACAAATATATCAAGAATTAATGGTGGGATTGTCATGGACTCAGATGGCTTTTGGATCAACAGCCATTCTCCATCTTTCTTTAATTCAATCTCATCATATTTTTCTTCACTCACACCCTTCAAATTTCACACTGCCCAGCTGCCTTAGGCAGACATGAAGCTGATGCTATTGTACCCCAAACCATTGATGGTCTCTCCCAGCAGCTTTATGTAAATGTTAAAATATTTATCTTAAGCTCTTATTATTTGTTATACATGATCCAGATATCATTTCTGCTTTTGGGGGCTCCAAGGTTTTGGAGAAATTACTTGTGGTTCCTAAACCAATAAATCTTTTTAGCTGAAGAAACTTCATGAAATTGATCCTACTTATTTATGTAACTTTTAAAGTAAGTAATTTGAATGTACTGTCCTAATTCATTTATAGAAGCTTAACATAAAAACTTTTTTATTACTTTAAAATGAGGTTTGTGCTACAAAAAGTTTTACTTCCTGTGAGCTGATAGCTCAGAAAATGCTTGTTACAATCTTGCTGTTGGAGATATATCTCAAAGGCTGGAACACTAACTCTTATGGTATGGCTTTACCTTAATCATGGTCATTAGTATGACTCCAGATCAATTATTGTATATTAAGGATACCTAGGGGAAGGGATAAATTACCAGGCATGCTGATTACTTAAAAATCATTATACAAGGAGAAATCTATATCTAATTGACAAGAATGGATTTTTGATTTATGAATTAGTCTTATTTTTTAAAAGAAAAAAGATGACCTTTAAGCAATAAAATGAAAATTTTAGGAGTTATTTCTTGTAACAACTTATATGTCTTTTTATTGCTAGGGTCATACATTTTGTGGTTTTTATATGCTTAATGCTGTCCTATGCATTTGCATTTTTAATACTACTTTCCACAATCGTTTTTATGAATTATTTAAAAATTACTCTCCCTTCCATTTAAACCTGGGTTATAAAAACTAAAGCTTAGCCTTCTGTAGTACATCAGTTATGTCACTTATTTAAAATACTATTTATTATAAAGCATTCTTACCTCGATGCTGATCTAGATCTCGACTTTCTGTTCTCATGCCTTTTGCCTTCCTGAGTTGGATGTTGATCCACTTCCAGTTCCTTAAACAATCAGCAAGGATTTATGATCAGTGGTACTCTTTTCTGATCAGTATCAACTTTAAAACTAGAGTTACTTTTTGAATTACAGAAGTTTTCATCTGTTTCTCTAGTTATGTTGAATATACAAGCACACGCGTACAGCAAACCTAAAATGTAATCATGTTACAGAGTCACAAAGCTACATGATTTATATTAAAAACGTTTTAGTGGTAGAATGTCCATGGAGATGCTCAGTCATCCAAGTAATGATTGTCTCAAAAGTGCTTTTTCAAGAGGCAACTGGACTTTCTGGTTTTTCCTTGAAGACATTTTGCTTCTCATCCAAGAAGCTTCTTCAGCTCTGACCGGATGATGGGGAATGGGAGGATTTATACTCCTTGCAGACAGCTGGTCATTTGCATTTTTTTAGAGAGTCACTGAGAACCTGGAGGTGTTGTCAGGGTCACCTGAGTAGTGCAAATGGGTGTGGAGCCTTCTTGGAACTGTTGGAAGGACTGTGCTGTAGACTGAAAATAGATGATGTCGTATCCCTCCCCATTTGTTGAGAGGGGGTTGTTTGAGTTTGATATAGATGGCCTCTTGGACCCCATCCCCACCTTCCTCTCTGTCCAAAATGTGGCCTTTGCTGTCTTCAAAAAAGTGGCCTTTGTCTTTTAAATGCAGATGTTAGTAGTAGAATTAATACATGGGGGAATAAATTCCATTGAGCTCCTTGGAATTTCTTAGTAAGAATGCATAGGATTATGAATAGCAAATAAAAATTAGTAAAAAGTTATAAATAAAACATTTTCTCATAAATATTCTAATACCAGTTGTTGAATAAAAGATAAGCTTAACATTGATGGTCCTTATACAGTATAATTTGAACACATTTGTGTAATTATACCTGATATAATTATAATTTTATTTCTAAGTTACTTGATCATTGTAACAAGTTTTTCAATTTATTTTATTTTACTTCACAAGTTTTACAAAAACATATATACAAAAAGAAAAAGAAAAAACAGAAGAAAAAATACATAGGACATCAATAAATAATAAACTAAAGAAAGAAAAACAAAATATAAAAAATAAAGTCTACTTCCTCTTTTTTTTCTTTAATTATAAAAATGTTATCTGACCAATTGTACAAGATAGAATTTTATATTCAATGCACTGAAAATAACATTGACATAAAGTGATTTCTGGTTTCACTTCTATCAATCAAAGTTGTGCAAATGTGTAAGATACATGTATTTATTCTGATTTTTTACCCTAATACTTTATAACCAGAATAAAATTGCTTACTATTTCTCTTCCATCTTAATTTATTGGTGATCCAGATTTCGTTAAAGAACTGATCTATGATCAAAGCACATACTGATTTAGAATGGCCTTCCCATTCTAGATCTTCAGAATTTGCAAGCAGTTTGATTATCAGAGGGAAGGTCATCCTCTTTATTACATTCTTCTGCAATTTCAAATCACTAACATTGAATCTCATTTGAAAAATCAATGCATATAATTTTGATGGCGACAGGCGGCGGCAATTGCCACCACCTGGAACAGGCTGAAAAAGGGACATGGGGAGGCCAAAAATGGGGCACACAGAGGCAGTAATGGGCGGCAGCGATGGGTGGCAGCAATCCCCGCAGCCTGGATCAGCTGACTGATAGGCCGATCCAACCGCCAATCAGCTGCTCGTGCTAAATCAGGCTGTGTTGAAGCTGACCAGGCTAGGCTGTTTGCTGCAAGGAGGAAAATTGCTGGAAGGCAGAGGCAGATTTTTTTTTCTTGTTTTCCTCCCCAAAAGCTAGGTGCGTCTTATAGTCCAGAGCATCTTATACTATGAAAAATATGGTAATAAATGAAATATGCTGTAATGGAATCTGGTGAGCAGTACAGTAGCATTTTCCTGAAACAATATACAGCATTTTGCCTAAAATATTGGGTATAAATAGCTCTTTACCTGCTGATGTGTTTTCTGCAAATGTGATTCACTTTGTGCTGGAAAAGAAGACTGAAAAGGCTGCTGCACCTGAGGTGGAGCCTGTATAACTTGTTGACCTATAGGAGTAAACTGTGGTGTAGGCAGAAGTCCATAGCTAGGCATCTGTCCATTTGGAGGGAGGGGGACCTTGTACAAGAAGAATGCAGAGGTAAGCAGTAGAAGAATGACATGTAAGCATTATCTGAATAGCGTTTCCTAGAAAGCAAATGCTCTCAATTTTGAAAAAAATAAGAATTAATCTAATGGAAATGTTTCCATTACCTGGTGAAGCATTGCATCCTGTTGCATTCCCAGCATTCTCTGCTGAAACTGATCTATATTTGGAAGCTGAGGATAAACTGGTTGTTGTAAGCCTTCACCTGGAAATCCACTAAGGTATTAAAAAAAAATTGAACAGGATTTCAATAATGCAGTATTTTATATAGTTGATTTAAAACACCATCAATGTTCCTTTCCCATGAAATTAGTTTATTTCCCCTGTCCATTTTAATTGTAATTTCCATTTTGCTCTTCTCCATCTGTCATTTTTTTTGGTCAAAAATAAGATTGTGAATTTGCATTTCAGTTAAGACAATAAATATTCAATTAGAACTGAATAATTTTTCAACAAACTAATATACATACCAAAATATTATAGTATAAAGTACGAATAAAAATTCCAAATAGTTATACAAATCACATATGAACTTTACATTTCTAATCTCCTTGATGTTAACATCGGTTGTCAAAACAAATCAAATCAAAACAAAACAAAACTTACAATGTTGGTTGAGAGAGTGAAGGAGAAGGTGTGGCCTCTTCTTTTTTTGTATCCTCTACTGCTTCTGGTTCATCATCATAGTCAAAGCGATCCAACAGCTTCTGAAAAATATTATATTGAGCCAACTATTTTCTTCCATAATAATAGAACAATAAATCAAGCATGTTACTGATGATATAAGTTTTCGTAAGTATTTTCCAGATGCACAATTAAGGAAGTACCCTCTATCCTCAAACTATATGGGGTTTTGAGGTTGGCCCCGTAAAACCCAGTTATACCAGTCTTGTCCCCTTGCCTCCTCCTTAATCTTAAAAAAATGATTAATATTAGAAGAGCAAAGCTGAAATATTCAGTTGAAATTGAAAATCCCATTAAGTAGTACTAAAGTACTAAAATCTAACCTAGCCATTAAACCTGCCAGAACTAGCTTTAATTCTCTACTTTTTCCAGACATTTCAACAATTTTAAGAAGAGCAATGTTATCTAGGCCAAAGGTCAGATAAAGTACAAACCAGAGCTAAATCATGGTTTGTATCACCTCAAATATTAGTCAGTAGCAACTGCTAATCTACATCATGACTGCTATATGCACACCTGGAATTAATGCAATAAGCAGGTTAAGACTCACTTTTTAAAAAATGAACCACAGGACTGTTATTATTGTTTCAGAGAGAGCAACAATTTTCCATATAGCCAAGATAAACTAAAAATCTATAAGGCTCCACAGATATCCCAACATTATGGTTTACCAAAAGACAGAAATGGAAGATGGAATTTTTGCATGCATATGAAAGAAGGAAATGCAAGGAGATGCCTTCAGGCTTGTTCTTCACAGCACTAAACTACAGTTTGTCATGGATTTCTCTTGAAACAAGATATTTGGGTAATTCCTTTTCAAGTAGAAGAAAAATACTACCTTATCAAAAGATGTTTTTTGTTCTGGTATTTGGAAATCATGCTTTTGTTCTGATGGTTGTGTTGTCGTGGTCTGCAGCTGAGCTGTGATAGCTTGAACCTGAGCCATTACATTATTATCTATTACTGGAGACTGAGGTTTAGGAGGTTGCTGAAAAGTCTGGAGAATCTGTTGGAGCTATCAGATTAAAATTGCAACTGTTAATATAATTTAAGGATAGGGATAGCAGAGACATTGTTCAGGCACTATAAAATTTGGAGCACTTCCAATGTGAACGGAACTAATATAGTATTCTCTCCTGCCTGAGAATTACAATTTCCTAAAAGAGCTCCTCTGCTTCTCATTATTGGGAACTGTCTCTTATGTAAAAAATAGAGAAGGGCTCTTTGGCTACCCCAAATTATGGAATGTAAGAAGATCCAGTACTACCTGTGGCTTTATTTCAAAAGTATTTAAGACCTGGCTTTTTATCTACACTTTTATTTGAAAACCACTTAAAGCTTTTTCAACGTGAACTATATATTGCCACTTATTTAATTTCTTTAATTGTTTATTGGTTGAATTCCTGTCTGAGATCTATGAATATTGAGCAAGCCAAACATAATTGAATAAAATGAACTGTATTTCAATTACTTTTTACCTCCAGTCATGATTTTACTTACTATAGTAAAAAGACAGTTGATCTTGTGACTATGCATCTACCTTGCAGACTACAACATGGTGTAAAAATTAGAATAGACATAGTACCATTCTGGCATGGAAACACTGCAACATACCATGATTGCTTTTAGAGGAATGCAATGGCAGTGGGAATGGACTGCTATTGGGAAAATGAAAAATACAGTTCCCTGCATGGCTAGGACATTTGATATTCTCCTCAGAGAGCAAGCATAGATAAACTGCATGGCTAAATATATTTTTCCTCATATGCCAATATGTATTAAAGCAGAAAACTGGATTTAACTTTTTATCAATCACAAACTTCCATGATAGTTTTAAAGATATATTACTGAAGATATAATTTGCCTTAAATAATATTTTCTTTAAAAAGTTTTTTTAAATAATCTCTTGCTTACCTGCTGTCCTTGTGTTGTTTGAAATAACTGAGCAACTGCAGCAAATGCATCAGAACTGGGCAGCTGTGGCACAGCAGGTACTGAATTAGCACCAACCTGTGGTGGCTCAGATGGAATTGTAGCAGATTGTGGTGAACCTATAGAATATATTTAAATATTTAAATCTTAAACACAATTGAAGATGTGCTCCCAAATATAAACCACTTTATACTTTGTTATTCTAAAATGATCAAATTTAGTTCTTCTACAGTATGATCCAAAAGTAGTTTTAATCTCCTGCAGCAGGGTTCTCTAAATTGAATATGTCCTCTATATATGTCTCACAACCATGAATAGATTCTGCATTCTCCCAATACAATCTGTAAAATCTGTATTCTATTTAAAGATCTTATAATATATTAGCATCACACAAGACTAATCATTGCAGATGGCATTCTAATAACTTATTTTAGGCAAATTTATTTAGAACACAGGAGGTAATAATATTGAAGATAAATCAAAGAAAAAGAATATGGCGTGATTGGTTTTTTTAAATGTAGCAAATTATAGGTTAGATAGAACAATTATTATGATTGGGATTACTAGATTATATATCTTGCCCATTTAGTAGCTGTTTGTTATTTTTTAAAACATGAAATTTCTGCTTGAATCATTTATTGTGACATACAACTTTATCCACATTTTTATAAAATTCTCCTAAGCATAATATTTAAACCAAAATAATTTCCATCAAGAACATATCTTTCATATCCATCAGGGCAATTTAATTCTAATAACTTATTTTCAGGAAATTTATTTAGAACACAGGAGTTAATAATATTGAACGTAAATCAAAGAAAAAGAATATAAAAAACCAATCTGAATAGGTCTTGAAAAACACAAAGCATACTGGAATGCTCTTCCAAGGAGTCCTGCTCTTTGATATATTCATTCACATCATCAGAATAAAATATGCATTCCTTTATAAAAAGGAGTATTTAATCAATGACCTTATTTCAGTTCATTCTACATAGATCATAACAAAATAAGACTTCAAATAAAGTTATCAATATTTAAACTTAGGAAATTGCCTTTTATTGAGTCATACCACTGGTTCTCCTAAGATATATTAGAGTTCTCCAGGATTCCAGGCAACTTTTTGGATATGTCAAAGACTGAAACTGAGATTTTTTGGATTTAAACAGGGTCCTAATTCCTACCTTCATTATTGGTGGCATCTTCTGTCACTGAGGTTGCACTGCTAGCTCCTGCTGCCATGTCCAGAAGTGGCTGAATTATTTCTATTTTAAACACACCATTTTTCTGCCATAAGTTGAGGACACGGACTATCTTACTCTGTTCAACAAGAAATTATGTCAGTATACTTTTTTTAAAAAATGTTTAATATTTTTAAGCACTACTCAGAAAATACTGTCCTTACACTTGCACACTTCACTTTCATGTACCATGAAACTGGGACATGTTTTGAGCTTATGCACTTCCTTCCCATTATTCAAATAAATGTAGGATATTCCAATCTGAGTATATTTTATTCTGAGAAAGGAGTAAATGCATTGAGCTGTAATACAATATCAATCTCCCATTGGAGATGCAAGACGAAAAGTGTCATCTAATCATTTAGCCTTTATATGTGAAAAAAAGATCAGGAGAGGGCAAACTATCTAAAAGCATGAATTAGAGCACAGGTCGCCAACCTTTTGAACCTCAGGTATCACCAAACTCATTCATAATTTTAAATCCCGCGGACCACTAATATGAATCCAGTACGCCACTTGCTGAAGCACCTGGAGTCCCACTGACACGATGGGGTCCTTCAGGAACTTAGCTTGGCTGCCTGTTTCTGCAACCTTAAATACTCAGAGAATCATTTAGACCCATTTCCCACAGAAAACAAAACACTGGGATCTCTCACCTCTTTCTCTCTCATCTCTCTGTCTTTCCCTCCCCCCTCTCTTTCCCTCCCCCACTTTCTCCCTCTTTCTCTTTCTTTCTCTCTCTCTCCCCTCCACCTTTCTTTCTGATGTCCTGAGGCCAACGAGCCAACGTGCTAAAGACCAGATGGCTGGCGGGGAGGTGGGGCAACAGAGGTGATGCGGGTGGCAGATGGACTCATACGCGTGGGAGATCGCAGCATCAGAGCCCTTCCCGGGTGTACACTGGCCTGTGAGAGGGTGGGGGAAAAGAAACCTTGGAACTAGCGTTACCTCCTGCCTCCGCGTATTGAGGAGGTCAAGCAGCTGTCAGAGATGCCCTCAGGTGAAGATGTTGCAAGGGGGAGGCTCTCCCCTCTCCCCTCGGGAGCTTCTCTTCCTCCTCGCAAGGGGGAGGCTCAACCCCCTCCCTTCAGGAGCTTCTCTTCCTCCTCGCCAGAAGCACTCACATGCAAAGTGCTCACCGCTCCTCTGGCACCCGACAAGCCTCCTCCTTCCCACTGGGTGTGAGAGCTTCTGGCAAGGAGGAAAAGGGGGTCGAGCCTCCCTCGCAACATCTTCACCTGAGGGCATCGCTGGCAGCTGCTTCCTGTGGCTCAGGAGGTCCATGCTCTTCCTGCTGCTGCTCGGCCTCCTTGATGGGCTGAGGCAGCAGCCACAATAAGGGTTTGCTAGAGAGACTGCAGGATTGCCCCACTTCCCCGCCAGCCATCTGATCTTCAGCACGCTGAGACCCACCAAAATTTTCTCACGGACCGCCAGTGGGCCGTGGCCCACCAGTTGGCGACCACTGAGTTAGAGTAACTAGGAACAGAGACAACAGCACATAAAAATCAACACAAACTCCAACATGTCTGAAAGCCTTATTTGGAAAATATTATTCTAAACTTGCCAATATCTATTTTCCAACAGAATATTTAGAAATAAGAGATTTTTAATTATATACAGCAGAACTCTGAGTTACATGACAGATAAAGGAATCCACCACCACCCTCCCAAATGTTTACTTGGGCACAGCCAGTTTACTATCATTTAGAATTTGCCTCTTGATCAAAGGTTCCAGATTTTTTTTTTAACTTACAAATTACATAGGCTGAGAACATTTGAAAATTTCTGTTCTAAATCACTGATCATATCAAGTCTTATGGTAATACTATTTCAAATACAATAAAATCCAAATTACCGAACTATCTACATTAAAAAACAGGATTATGCAATAATCTGGATCCAAAAGGTAAATCTGATTCAGAATGTAAGCAGGTGCTTATATAGCAATTGTTAATAAATGCTCAAAACTTATGTCATAGTATCAATAATTGCTGTATGTCCATGCAATTCCCAAGTCATTTTGTAATTCCATTAAAAAGTTATTCCAATCTTAAAGTTGTGAGGAAAAAGTGCCTCACGACAAGAGCAACATTCAACTTAAAGGCCTTATTCAAAACCAGATTGGGTCACTGGGGCTCCATCCTAGACAATGTTCATCAGGTTATAAATTAATTTCAAATAAAGCTAAAAACAACAACTATACCTTATCTTCTGATGGACAGAGATATAAATACTGGAATGTGGCAGTTATATTCTTACAGAATCTTGGCCCAAAAACATCCTTGTCTGTTCCAAATTGATGACGAGACTGGCGAACAATGGAGTCAATAACATACAGTCCAGGAACTTTATATTCAGGCTTACACTTAAAAGAAAGAAAACATATCACCATTTCTAAATGCACAACTGAAGTTTAACATACTAACATTAATTACTAAGTGCTCATAAAATAAGTCTATTGGATAACTTGGATAACAATTTCAGGTTTGGCCAACAACGATTCCTTTCTTATGCATGAGCTTCTAGCATATTTAAGGGTTTCAGAATGATACCCAAGATCATGTTTCTATCTTTCTAATATTTTCTTCTTTCTAGTGCCTGGCTCACGTTCTCAGAATGATTGTTTCCTCTTTTTTCACTGCCTGCTGTCTCATTTCTCCAGGGACAATGTGTTGCTTTTATTTACCTACTTTCTGGGGAACCAGTATCACCGGTTCTTTCAATGGGCTATTATTCTGTATCTGAGTTTCTAACTTGGGAGACTGTAGGACCACCAGTGATGGAATTTTAAACAAAATACAAAAGTCACACCTGACCAGTTGTCCCTCTCTTAAACTTTCCAGTTTAATTTCAAGTATTTTCACACTCTACCTCTTATTCAAATATCTTGCCCTTTTCTCTATTATTTTCCTTGATGTGGATAGAATCTATTTTATTTATTAAATTTCTGTGCCGCCCATTTCCCCTACAAGGTGACTCTGGGCAGCTTACAAATGATATAAACGTGAAAAACAGACAAAAGATTAAAACAAACTGACATTAAAACATTATTAAAAACTGCTAAAAGCACACCTAAAGATCCAAGAGATGGATGGGATGGGGATGAGATTTTCTTAAGGCCTCCCCTATTGCAAAGGTTACACACAGTCCTATGTGGTAAGGAGGACTGGAGGTGAGTAGAATGTCCCCATTGATGGAATCAGGATACAGGCATTTATTTGAGCAGTTTTTCTATCCATCCATACAGAATTCTGACAGGATGAAGACTAACTATTCTATTTCAAACCTGATCAGAATTGTTAAGGGAACAGGTTTAATCTCACTCTACACTGCCAGTCTCCACAAAACCTAGGAAGTAAAATATTTCCATGATCTCTTCTCATAGCATCTCTTTCTCAGATGTTAGATGTGACAAAATGTTAATATGGAGAAAACTGGTGATTCTTTACAACTTATTTTGAGCTATGTAATTCCACTTACCTTTTTAATGAACTTCTCTACAATTTGGACTACATGTTTGTAAAGCTGAAAGGAAGAATTAAATGTGTTTTATTTGGTGTGAAATCTTTCATTCCATAAAATATTTAGAAAAATAGTATTTTATTTTTACAGGTATAAATTGCAGAACACTACAAATAATTAAAAGCAAGATGGAACTTTTTAGTAACTATTATGGAACTCTTTAAACATCAGATCAAATCTAACAAGTCTTTTAAATTAAATTTTTAAAAGAGCTTTACGCGTACCATGAAGAATACATATTAAAAAGATGAATCCAAATATGCAAGGTTTGCAAATTAATGAAAATGAATTCTTGCTTTACTTGTAAAAAAAAAACCTAATAAAACACTACAAATCTTATATTTTGCTATGATAGGCCAATTTTGCCTATGATAGAAGAAATATTCTTTATTAGGTTACCTTAATAGCTTTAATGGCAGCTTTAGTGATGAGAATCATCTTTGCACGAGAAATTGGAGGCTTCATCTCCATCAATGAGAAGAGCTAAAAAAAAGTAGCAAAATTAAAAATGCAGTATTTCTAGATAAAGAAATGTTATTTACTACACTGTGTAATCATTCTAAAATTATAAAAGTACACCTATGGAACCATTTATTCTGATTTGGAATATTAATATCTTAAAATGATACTCTTCTCTACTTTTATGAAAACTTTATTACTTTATAATACCATATATTACCACTCCATTATAAAGAAATATTTACTCATTAGGCGAAAAGCACTTTCTATTTTAGAACTATGCCAAAATCAATTATATGGTCAAGTAGAGCAAAGTAGAGCAAAATTGCAAAGAAGTGTTGATTTTCAAGTTTGTCCTCAATAACAGCAGATAAAATGACAGAAAACAAGGGAGCCTAAGAATTGCCAATACCCCCTTGCACCTACTAAAGATAAAAAAAGTAGAGGAGAAATGTTCTCTTTTTAGCTTTTTTCTTTCTAACTCAAAATTCATTTGAGCTCATTAATGAAATGGTTTTTTTTATTAAAAAAAACCATTTCATTAATGAGCTCAAATGAATTTTGAGTATATGGCAGCAGTATATCTTTGAGGATGGTCAGGGATGGGATTCAAAAATCCAAGCAACCAGTTCGCTGCCTGGTTGCTAGGTGGGGGGGGGGTGGCCTATCAGAACTTCCTGTTTCTGGCTTCTGGTGGGCCTCCAGAGCCTGGGGGAGGTCATTTTTGCCCTCCCAAGGGTCCAGAGGCCTCCCCCAGGCCTCTGGGAGGACAAAAACAGCCTCCCCTAGGCTCTGGAGGCTCACTGGAAGCCGGAAACAGACCCATTTCACAACTTCCATTTTTCCCAGGAGGGCTGTTTTTTTCCCTCCCAAGGGTCTGGAGGCCTTCCACTGGGCCTCTGGAAGAGTGAATACAGCCTGCCCGGGCTCTGGAGGCCCTCTGGAAGCTGGAAACAGGCCCATTTCTTGACTTCTGGAAGTCCAGTTTTCCCTCCTATCAGAGCCTCTGCGCAGACCCTGCACTTACCTCCACTGAAAATGGGCCGCATGGAAACTCTATGGAGACTACTGGGAGGTGAGGGGCGGGGTGGGCAGTGCCAGCCAGTCGGTTGAAATACCGGTTCAGCGAACCAGATGTAACTTTAGCATCCGGTTTGCCCGAAACGGTAGAATCCCACCCCTGAGGACGGTACAAGGTAATCTTAGCCCATTCTGTAACTGTTCTATTATGTGTAGTTACTTTTTAGAGGAACAAGTGACCCTCAAGAAACTAAGATGTCATAATGTATCAGATTAGTATATGTGTGATCCAAGCAGTGTAGACTTTTGTAATTTGCAGATGGAGATTTTGTAAATGTGCATATTGTCTACGTGCCAGCCAAGATTTCTTTGGTATGGCACACAATAAGCAGATAACCACTGAGATCACAATGGCTGGTTTATGCCATAATCTTTCAAGTTAAATTTTCAGATCTTGATATTTTGTGATCTTTTCCAATACTTTTATTTTTTACTGTTCCTTGGTATTGCCACATCAATTATTCACAATTATCCAATTATTCTTCTTTTCAACTATATTTTGCTACCAATTTTTCATTACTGGCACATGGCGATTTTTATACATCATTTTGGTAAATGTGTTATATTATTTAAAACACGGTTATAAAACAGGTATCACAGTTTCTGTAACATTCTTGCACTAGCTCAATATATTATCTACTGTTTCTTCTGCTTTTTTGCACGATTTGCACCTCAAATCATTTGGTAATTTTTCAATGCAAGCCTTGGTTGAATTATTTCAAATAGCTTGAACAACCAAAATCAAGCCTTCAATTTATTTTTTTAATTTTCTAATTGTAAGTCATTGCTAAGTTTCATCTTTATCCACTTTTCTCTCTCTTTTTTTTTTTTTTTTACAGAAATGGACCATGTAATGTCTATGGAGATTCTCAATCTTCCAGGTCATGGTTGTCCCAAAGGGCAACTGGATTTTCTTGGGGTTTTCTTTCCCTTGAAAACATTTTGCTTCTCATCCAAGAAGTTTCATCTGCTCAGAAATCTCTGGTCCTTGGTCCTCCCCTGGGCGAAGCCTCGCCACTGTTGGAGTAAATGTGGCCTCTGAGGCTGGTCGTCCCTTTTTTAAAATAGGTTCCCAATGACTCTCTGCTGGCAGTCTATTTGACTGTGAAGCAAAAGGATTCTCACTGCAGCCTTTTATAAAGGGTAGCTGTGGAGATTGTGACTGAAATGTGGGAGCTCAGAGTCTCCTTCCTGGTTCTATCAGAGTGCAGTGAGTGGGAAATGATGGGGTCTCCTCCCCGGAAAGTCTGTCTGCCTTCTTTGCTCAGCTTGCCTTTCAGCTTTGGAAATCTCCCTTTACAGCACTCTTTGACACCTCCAAGCGTCTCTTTCCTCAGCCTTAGAGGCTTTCCTGGAATGTAGGGCTTTTGCTCTTATTTGGGCAGCCACTGTTCTACTGCTCGCTCTTGATGCTGAGGGACCTTTCTGATTAACCTGGGGCTATGCTGGGGGGCCCCTTTCACCCCACTTACATGTGTCACCATATGGCTCTCTAAGGCAGCAGTATCCTCCATCCTTTGTTCCTCCTGCTGTATTGGAGGTTTTATGGTCCCCTGCTAGGGAGGCACCAGGGCATTTGCAACTAAAAAGCGCACCAAACATCGGCTCTGTATGAATGAGCCAGAAAATGGTGGCTGCGCTGGGAAGCTCAAGTTGTCAGCCACATTGCACTACTGGCTATGTCAGTCATGCTGGGGCAGCCAGCTTAGTTACTGCAGCGGCTGTATTAGTAAAACCGAGAAATCAGCCAAAACATCGCAGCAGCTCTGTCAATTAGACCAGGGTAGCCAGCTGAATCATTGGGTGGCTGTGCTGATCAAACGGGAAGCCTGCCAAATTGTTGCAGTGGCTCTGCCGATCAGACCAGGGTAGCCAGCTGTTGTAGTAGCAGCTCATATCCAAAAACCATTCATTTGCTGTGGCGCTGTATTGCTCACCCGAAAGCCATGGTGTTCGGCGAAAAACAGCTGATTGCTGTTGCGGCCAAAAAACAGCTGATTTGCTAGGATTTGCCACAGTGGCTTTGTTGCTCACCTGAAAATCACTCAGTTCGCTCTATATCCTGACTTCCTTTCTCTTTTGTGTGAGAATCCAAAGAATTCACTCTGCCCTTTATCTCTGGGGAGTTCCTTTTAAACGTGTCTCTCTTGGGCTAAGACTGAGTCAAAATTGGGACACAGTCAGGAGAGGCGTGGCTAAAAAATTTAAAAGGACTCAGTCTCTGTGTAGAAAGGCGGAATTAACCCATTCTTTGGATTCTCTACTCAGCACACTGGAGAACATTTTGCTTTTCATCCAAGCAGCTTCTTCAGTTCAGAAGTGAAACATTTTCAAGAAAAAACAAGTCCAGGTGCCTTTTGGAAAGCACCTTTGGAATGACCATGTAATGCTTTTCTTTGTCAGTATTCTGTTTGTCTTTTTATTACTTTTTTTTTATATTCAAATTTTGTTTCCTGCACATGCACTAAGTTCCAATTTTTAACTTGCATCAGTGCTTGTTCTTGGCTATCTTTTACATAATCAGCCAATATATACTTTTCTTCGTTGAACGCGGACTGCCCATATCTCAGTTTGTACCTTTTAAGAACTCTGTCGAGGTCATCCTCACGAGATAAGGGTCCGTTGGCTCCGCAGCCTCCCCCAGCACGGCGAGGAAGCAGCTCTGCCATCCCCCTCCCCCGGTCCGCCCGGCAGGGGCAGCTGCTTGGCGTTCACTTTTCCGGCTGATTGGCTTCTGGGCTAGGCCCTGCTCCTCAACAACTTTTTACAAAAAATTTTTGATCAAAAGGGGTGTGTGAAACAAGCGCTGGGATCCCCGGCCTCAACGTAGGCCACATCCAGACGTGCCAACCGTCTTGCATTAACTCAAAATTTCCTTTTTTCTCTCTCCAGATAGCAGATGACAATACATCTTGTGGCACTTTGAAGGCCAAGTCAAAGTCTCATCACCTGTGCAAACAGGCACAGGAGGTATCCAAAGCCTCCCAGAGGGATGCCCTCAGGCGGCACAGGGCTCTTGAGAAGGAGATTGACAGGCGGTCCAGAGAGTCAAGCTCTGTGCCCCTGGCTCCTTCCACCCCCACTCCCTCAACCTCCACCCATCCTCCTCTCCCCTCCTCCCCTGCTCCTTCCTCTTCCTCACAGCCTAGACAGGCCCCTGAGGCCACCTTTACTCCCACTGCTGCAGGCCTGCGCACGGAGGAGCTTCATCCACCCCCTACGGTGGATATCCCTGTGAACCTGAAACAATGGATGGAGCTGGCAATCCGGCAAGGGATAGCGCAAGAGCTCCAGCAGCTGGCCGGACCGGCCCCACGGCCTGTGGCCCCTGAGGCTCAAGCACCATCTGTTCGATCGCTCTCCGGATCAGCGGTCTCGCACGGTCAGGTAGCATCCCACAGGGATTTGCCCTCGCCTTTGGGGATGGAGGAGATGGAGACCCAGGAGCCCGGGGGACCTGCCCTCTTTGGGGACGAGGAGGACCTCGATTTGGGGTCTATCATGGGCAGCGAGCTCTTCTCGGCAGCAGACCCACTGGAGGGGGACATGTCTGAGGATGAGGGCCTCACTCCGGACCAGCCCGCATTTGTGGGGCTGTTTAAACCGCACCTGTTTAGGTCTCTTCTATTCAAGGCCAAGAATACCTCTGGTCTGACCCCCCCCACTCTGCCCAAGCCAGCGGCCTCGGGGGAACCTCTCGACTCCATCTTTTCCCAGCCCGTGGTGGAAACTGATGTGATCCCTGTTCCACCTATCTTCTCCGACCTGGTCTCCAGGCAGCTAGCCTCCTCGGGGGCCCCTCCCCCGCTAACGCTCAGGACAAGCGGTTTTTCAACCTTGACCCGCAATTCTCCCTCTTGCTCAATCCCCCTTCTGTGGACGAGCCTATTGTAGGTCTAGCTTCCCGCTCAACTCCTGGCGATGCCCTCGAGGCACTCAAGCCC